TGGCATTCTTAGTGCAAATGATTGTTCCATACTGAGCGTAGACGGCAAACTTTCCAGCCAAGCCGATGGCTGAATATTGCAGTATTGCTCTATAGAACCAGAGAAACATTTACGCCATCCATCGCACCTGCCTGTCGTCCGTTCCTTCTCGCCTTTGCACACACCTGTCCCGTTACCCATTGCCCGCTTTTGCAGTTGCTCATGAACGTAATACATTGTCTCCCAAACGGCGTCATACAGCAACCACTTCATTACAAAGGGCTCTATGGCCCAATAGAAGCGTCTGCGTGATCCCGCTTGCTAACTCCGGCCTTCACGAAAGTCTTATGACCGCCCCCTGTGGCAATACAGCTGTTACGCTGCTGATGCAAGCGCTACACTTTTCGTCATACTCTTTGGACATTCAAAATGCAATCTGCTCCCGCAATCGTTTACCGACACACTACTCGTTTTCACAATCACTGGAGGTGATCAGTACTTTACTAGTCTAAGGAGCCATGTCGCTTCGAGTAGGTCACATCACTGAGATGGTTGCCTCACGCACTATTAAGGATACTTACTGCGAAACAATAGTTTATTAATTAAGGCAAGGTCAGTATTGTTGTTTAAACTAGAGACTCGGCCACTTCATAGTGTGGGTAATGAGAAGCTGGCCGTGTGTTTGGCCACCGATGCCTGCAAAGTAATGCTCATTGTGGGAGAACTGAGTGAACACTTCTGAGGTCTGTAATCCGGTATTTGTCAATAGATTGTTTAACGCCACACTAGAATGTATGTTAAGCTCAACTCTTCTCTGTTCACTTGGTCATACGCTCCGCATGGCACCAAACCGATGTGTACTGTTCGATATTAGTCTTTCTGGTTTGATGATACCCTGAGGTAGCTTACTGACAACATGGCAAAAGTGAAACTTGCTAACTGGCTAAATCTGCTCGGGGGTTATCATGTTCTTGAATGTGCTCCTTAGGATCACTCACTTACCAGTGGTTGTATATGATGCGGTCAATAAATTAGTGGTACTCTTAAATTCACTCCTTTAATTCTTGTTCCTGACTATTTCGCTTGATGAATTCAATTTTCATTCATCCCCACTGGAACATTTTTTGAAGTGAATCAATCTACCTAGTTCCATCGTATATCGGTGCACGGATCATGGCTGATTGGAACACAGAAATCCGGATTGTTTATGTTTTTATGGTCCGTTTATGTTGTGACAGTTGATCAACATTCCAAACTAGGCTATAGTTACACTCTCGATCAATCGCGCTCGTGTTGAAACGTGTCCTTTATGCATCGAATCCAACAACTGGTACGGTTGAGTTTACGACAGCAAGTTTGAAACCGTAGGCATCCTGTGTTTGAGTCATTTGCAAAGCCCAACCTGGCTATGGGATCACAAGCGTTACACATAACACACCATTATGCGCACGTAGAATGTCTACACTTTTCTCCGGATGTTTTTATAAACGTGTGGATAACCGAATTGATCGATGCCATAGTGTGTAGTCAGTTGCTGATATTTCTGACACAGTGTGTTTCCCATACTTGTTGTCTTGCTTACACTTCCTCATGCAACTCGGAACCACCTACTTGTTCTTGTCGCATCCACAATTTAGTTCTGTCCAAACCAGACAAATGCGAGTTGTGTCAGCCTATTTACTGGAAACCGCTTTCTTTTCCCCAAACAGCTCTCTAGTTGCTGCTGTTTCTCTCATTCTCTCACTTGTTCTTTTTTTACTAATATTTTCGCCCTTCCAATTCCGTTGATTTTTATAATGTTGCTTTCAAAAAGCCAAAACGTGAGAGCACGTAAACATACAGCGCTGTGAAATCCTTCACCTTGAAAAAAATGTACCTTTTTTCTTATTTACCGTTCGTATCTTATAAATACGCGAGATAATCATCTACAATATCTTTTCAATTATTTTTCCCTATTGCTACATTTAAATTGCGGCATATCCATTATTTTGTATTTAATGATCATTAACTCCTTACTGAATGGTGTCATCCGAAAACTGCACTCTGACTGTAGTGTCGCTTAATAAGAATATATTTTCTCTCAGTGACCCAGAAAGGACCGCGCACAACACTCTGGGTGTTACTACTTGATTGGCCAGTCTTTGTTTTTCCTAATTGGTTTTCATCTCGTAGACATTGAATGAGCCAGCTTTAGGAGATGATAGCAAGTTATAACATGGTTCTAAGTATCAATGGGTTCTCTTCCGGTCGTCCGCTTGTTCCGTATTATTACTAATCGTACCACTGTACCGCAAGTTTTTATTTGGATTTACATCTGGGGACTGAACTAGCCATTTGAGCATCCTCACTCTTTTTCATCCATTTTGTGGTTGTCTTTTCACAATAGCATGGTGCATCGTCATCCTGGAAGTATGATTCTTACTTGTATGACTCCTGAACTGATGGTAAAGTGCAGCGGTCGATGATCTTCACATATTTGCGTGCGTTGACCATGTCATCAACCATATGGAGCCTACCAATTCCATTGTCAGTCATGTAACTCGAACTCATAATTTCTGTTCTATTTGCTAGAGAGACTGAGACACTGTGGCTTGTATTCTTCCCCTAGAAACCGTCGGATACCTGTGATGTTATGATTCCCAAGGATACAGCAGTGACTTTCACCACTAAATATGACTATCCCGATGCTTCTTGGCTCAGCATGTATACTTTCTGCTCTATATTAACCTTCTTTTCCTCTGTGCATCAGACAAACCTGATTCATTCCTTGTTCTGTAGTCTCTCAAACCGAAGTGTAAGCATCGTCTTGTTACTGTTGAACTGCACATTTCTTTCCAGTCCCTTAGCACTTGAGGAGATCTAAGCTCCTGTCACTCAAGAGTGTCCTCCGCAACCTCCGATATTTCGGTCTGTTGACTTCTTAGGCCCATCACATCGAAACTTGTCATCTGTGCTTCCAGGCTCAGTTAGCTTTTCACTAAGTCTGATGACTACTGTGCTTTGATTACAGCCAACATTTTTTCCGCAATTTTTCTTTCTTGTGTGTCTTTCTTCAAGGTGCACTACTACTACTAGTTTAATTCGCACGTGTTCGTCCAGCTACCTGAAAAATCTCATGCTAAAACTTTACTCAGTCTGACGAACAAATATTATTAGTTTGCACCAACATTCTCTTCAAGTTTAAGTATGTATATCCTGTTGTGTTATCGGTCAGCAACTTTGCATCTCTGTGGGATGAAAAATACATTGTTCGAAGAGTCCGTTTCGATCCCAATTTGACACATTTAACGCATTCTACACAAGCTGCAACATAACGGCTAATCAACTCGCTGCTTTTTAGCAAAAACAACTTTATGCGTAGTAAAAACATTAAAATAATGGGAATAATAGTTTCGAACTGAAATGTTATGTAGCTTTTGTACACTTCTGTTTTTAATTAGACGGCAAATCTATTAGACTATACAGCTTTGTTTTTCTAAGTGATGCAGGATTTTTCCACCTTATAAAGCAGTAAATTCGTTCGATGGTCTTCGGATTCACACAATGCTACTTGGTTACTTCAGCTCCTTTTAGTAGTGGTTATTTCAGTTTGTACTTGCGTCTCCAGTTTTCCGGTTCGCCTATCACTGTGATTGTGCGCAAAAAATAATACATAAATAAATCGCTAGCTGTATGTCGTAACGGAGCTTCGCTTCCGCGCGACCACCACCAGTCGCGCGTGGGCTGAGTATACCGCAAGGACACCCGCCCCTACGCGGATTCGAACCGGTTACCCTTTTGTTTGCAAACCAGATGCGCAGACTCCTTGTGCGTGGGAATGTACCATGAATGGCTTGCGTCTTATCGTCCGTACGTCCCCCACATCTGGGGTACACAGTCGACGGAATCAACCCAGAAGGCAGGTGAATAGGAGCTTCCACCTCGATACCTGCATGACGATCGGTCCTGTACACCCTCCTTCATAGTGTCCAGCGCGATTATAAGAGATTGCTGATTGAGGTGGCGCAGTACCACTAAACGTTTTGGAATACAAGTAGGTCAGCTTGTCGATTCGGTTGTTTATTTGTTCGATGGGCTTGGTAATTCGGTTTGTTGTACTCCATCCTTCCCAACTAGTGATCATTTCTTCCGAATTGATCGAAATCTTTGGTCGGGTTTGTTGTAAGCAGTGTACACCTAGAAGCTGTTGACGACTTTTATCTGTGCAGTAAGCCATCTGACATTCAGGGGCGAAAATACCACCGTTTATCCTCACAAACAGAGACACTCACTGCTTGCGCTGACAATTCACTACTGTGCCTCGAAGGGATTGACAACAAGATTCATGGAACCAATGAGGAGCTCGCGATTGTATCCAAAAGATAACCCTGAGCGTGTTCAATCGTGTGGCAAAGTCTTTCTTTGCAACTCATGTGAGTTCGATGACGGCATTTCTCTCTTGACGCTCGACTCAAGACAGGTGGGCTCTTGCACTTTCCAGCCTTCATCTGACTAAAATGCCTGACTCTAACGCATACAGACTTCGACTATTGACTCGAACAGTCTGTTTCATGAAGTAGGGTCATTCCGTCGTGGACCTGTGTTCACGTGTTTTAGGCTTCTGGTTTGTAATCCACAGATCTCCTCTTCTACCTTATCTGCAATGAACCTCGCACTTTCAGGGGCCCGCACGCATTTGGTGGCTACTGCGTGATAACGAAGCGTCGGTACGAGCTTCGATATGCTGCGGACTCTTGTATTCCATGCTGTATGACTAATCTGTGTCCCCCGGGTTATATACTTCAAGTGGGTCTGCAGCTACGAACCTAGTGTGCTGCATATTGATCCACAACTACGCTGAAATCCTTTTTTCACCGGTTAGCTTAACTGGTCGACCAACTGGTGTCATCCATCTTTTGCCCTTTAAGCCTAGTCAACTTTTTATTTTGTTTACTCGTTTTTCACGCACAATTGCAACAGGTTAGCGATTACTCCAACTTACTTTACTAATTTCGCAAATGACTCTGTTGTTTTTTTTTTAGATCAACCAGCGGACAACGTACAGGGATTTGCTCCGGCTCCACTTGAACCTCATCCCTTCCATGGGTTGCAACCGATTGCCGCCACTGACGAATGTAAACAGGATGTGGAATTCTATTGCTCCCGGCATACCAGCTCCGATTGGTCCACCATTGAATGCTTGCAGGTAGTCTGCGATCACATTTCGGCCTTTAAATGCCTCCTATCTTCTTCAGAAGGATGAGAAAACGCTTAATGAAGTTAGCGATAGGTGCCAAAATCTCATCTGGCAGCGGAAGCATATCCTAACACAGAAAGGTTCATTCGAAAAAGATCTGCACCCAAAATGTCTCGCGGAGTTCAACAATATATCCGAATGTCGCGAATTGAACGAATCTGCGTTTTACGTTCCTTGCCTAGTCGAGCACAAACCACAGGTTAGTCCAACACGATCGAGCTATACTATTTACTTCCCGTCATTGTAGATTAAACAGAAACTCTGTGTGTCCTATCTCAATCGAGCAGCTGCATTTATTTTCGCCGATTACCGCCTTTTGTATCATTTCATCAACTCGTGTGGTGATGATATCCTTCGCTTTGAATGCGGTCGCATTGACATCGGACCGTCTTCACCACAGACAGAGCTGGAACATCTCGCAGTGAAGAGCCAAGGCAAGACCATCCACTGTCTTAGGGCTCGTGTTGAAAAACTACAAAAGCAATGCCGTATGCAAATATTTCGTATTGCGGAGCTGCAAGCGGACGACTATCATCTAGACAGACCTCTGTACTATGCATGCAGAGAGGATCGAGAACGATTTTGTCACTCGGTGGAAGCTGGAGATGGTCTCGTCTACGCTTGTTTGAAAGAAAACAAATACAACCCGCATATGTCCGCCGGCTGTCGGAAAAGAATCAGTGAACGGTTAGTGTCTGTTCCTACATTTGTTTCATGTGACCGTTACAGGGTTCAGCTCAGTTCCGTTACTCGACGACCATCATCCAGATGCGAAATGCAGTGGGTCCAGTTGCCACGACTTAGTCTCTAAAATAACGATGGTAAGAAAATGAGGTTGGACCCAACTAAGATATGAAGAAAATGCAATTACGTAGGTGCGAGAAATTCCTCTGGATGGAATACTAATAGTTAGAATACCGAAGCGCCACTAGCTGTGCGATTGTGTCATGTCCGATAGGGTCTCCAACCACTGGTGTGGCCTATCTCGGGGTCTTCATCCACGAAGACGACATGCACCACCTGATTTCGAGCGGGCGACACCCAATTTCCATCTGCTTCAGCTGTAGTCGTACCGATCGACTAACCAAAATCCACTTTAATACGAATCGCGGTCTATATTGAGATTGCGCGTCGCAATCCATTCAAACGTTGTGTGCTTCAAAATGACCCTCCAATCAATCTCAGTCAGTTCCATCACGCTTTTTTGTCACCTCATTGATGGGCTGCCTCACGGTTTCACCTAATCAGGTGGAGCCATGGCATATAATGCACACCGAGGAAGCAGGTCGACGTGCATACGGTGGACGTGATCTAACCAACGTAAACGATTGAGCTTAAGCAAACACTCGAGTGAGGCACCAGAAGGCTTCTTGCTAAAAACCAACTGGCGACTTCAACATTGCCTGACCGATGTTGCCACTAGATGTGAGCAATATTTCGCAGACGTGGTCAATCCTTTTATGTCTTACTGTGAACCGCCTATACAATCCCGAGAGAGCGGATAAGAAAACAAACCTTTCGCAACAGATGCTTTTACTGACTCAGAAAACGGCGAATACAGCATTAACCAATCTCACTTATGTAGCGAGATTGGTGACGTATGTGCTTTTTCCGCATAGAACATTCTGCGTGGGCGTAAACAAGTGCACTGGCATAGTACGAGATATCGAAAGCCTGCGTCTGCATTTTGCACAAGTTCGTCGCAGCCATACGACTCAGTCAGCTACAAGACATGGAGGGTCGCCATGACGGATTACCAACTGTAATCCAGCGTGGCTCGTTCGTCACTTTCATACATGTTTTAAACACATGGAGGGCAGAGTTGTCCGCTAGATCCAAGACATCCCCAGAATGTTGCAGTTCTCGATGTTAATGCCTATTAGCTATTCACAAAATCGGATAAAACTGTGTATTCTCGATGGTATACGAGACACAACAAAGAAGGTATGATTATTTATGTACGATATATATATATATTGCTGAGGCTCATGTTGCATTCTTGATGCTTCTTCACCGCAGTTGGGCTAAACTAACTTACACTTAAACTAAGTCGTTTTAAGCCGGATAAATTTCATTCCACTTTATTTGGTTTGTTCTGCCTACCTGAATAATCTTCTATTAACTGGCCACGTTGCTTACGCTGATGGCACTTATCTTCGGTAACTTTGTTGCGTTTATAGTACTTTTAAGTAACTTGCGGACATTTCTTATGGTGAATTCGGTACTAACCAACTTGTTTCATATGGTAATTTAGGGAAGAGTTATGCCACCGTAGCTGTATGCATTATTCGATTTATTTTATTACATCTTGTCGTTTCAAGTGAATGGCTGTTGCTTGATATCCCCGATGTGGCTGCGCCTGATGTGCATGTTGACGAGGTGCCTACTTGTCTATTACCCACTACCTCGTTCATACTGGCTCCTAGAGACAGTTGGTCGTTGCTGGAGGGGACGGGGTGCATGGTCATTGTCGTCGTGCTAGGCTCAAAGAGCGGTTCCATGCACTCAGTGTGGAGCAGACTACGGTGCAGCCACCACCTTGTGTGTGCACTTGATTCCCCAAATACAGCGTGCTTGTGTTTGCCTGTGAAGGAGTGTGGGCCGGCTCCGTTGATGCAACGTGGCTCCCATCCACATGCCTCCCGGTCTTATTCCTTTGGGTCTACACTGGATATGGGGTGTGTGGATGGAACTGTGGGTGGTGCAGCGCAAGCCACCCATGGTCCCTGTGTAGGCGCAGGCGTCCAGTGGCTGGCCACAGTGACAGGCAAATCCGAAACCGGATGCCGCCAACCATATATATTATGCCCCATGCTGAGGCTGATGTCGCATTCATGATGCTTTTTCACCGCAGTTCGGCTAAGCCAACTTCCACTTAATCTAGGTCTTTTAATGTGGATTTCATTACCTTTAATTTGGTTTGTTATGCGTACTTGATAATCTCCCAACTAACACACGTTGTTCATGCAAATTGCGGTAAACTTGCGTGATTCCGCTAATCATATATATATATATGTATATATATATATATATATATATATATATATATATATACCAGGGGTGTTCAAAACGAAACCGAACTTTGGAAATATTGCGCCAACCGACAGAAGGAACGAGCTGAGGCTACCGAGCGCATGTGGAGGCTTGTTGGGACAGCGGACTGCCTTTTGCCGCATTTCGTTCTGACGCTTAATTGGCGAGCGACAGCCGCTGAATTGAGTACGTGCACAAGCTGTTCGTCGGATTAGTGCCAAAGAAACAATGAAAGAGCTAGTAGAACAGCCTGTATGTGTGACATTTTGCTACAAACTTTGCAAAATGTTTACCGAGTCATTTCACTTGCTTAGACGTACGGGAGGACTGTTCGAGTCACACACATTACTGTAATTGATTTAAGTGTTTTGAACACGGCGGAATATCATTCGGTAATGCTCCCAAACCTGGACGACCTTTCACATCAGCAAACGATTGCCATGTCGAGAGTATTCTTGCTGTGATCGGTGGAATTCGTCATTTAACTCTTCAAGAATTTGCTGACGAAGTGAGCTCCAGCATAGGTTCATGCCATGAAATTCTGGAGCGTTTGAGCGATGCTGTGCATTGAAAGTGGCCTGAACTGTGGGAAAACCAAACTTGGGTGTCGCATCATGACAACGCGTCGGCTCACAAATCACTCCTCATGTGCAGATATCTGGCAAAACATCACACTTCCGTCGTGCCCGTTTACCGTATTCTTCAGGCCTAGTCCCATCAGACTTTTTCCCAGAGTTAAAACCACGTTGAAAGAACTTCGTTTCAAACCATAGAGGCGATTCAGGACAATGCAACAAGTGATCTCCGCGTCATCCCAGAGAGTGCGCTCCAGGCTTTCCAAACATGTAGTACCGTTGGAAACGGTGTATTGTCATTAGAGGCGACTATTTTGAAAGTGCTTAAAATGTTGTGCAATGAGCAACAAAGATATTATAGGCAAAGTTTCGTTTCTTTTTGAACACTCCTGTTGCATATATATATATATATATATATATATATATATATATATGTACGGTTGCCGGAATCCGGTTTCGGGTTTGCCTGTCACTGTGGCCAGCCACTGGACGCCTGCGCCTACAGAAGGACCATGGATGGCTTGCGCTGCAACACCCACAGCTCCATCCACACACCCCATATCCAGTGTAGACCCAAAGGAATAAGACTGGGAGGCATGTGGATGGGAGTCACGTTTCATCAATGGAGTCGGCCCACACTCCTTCACAAGCAAACACAAGCACGCTGTATTTGGGAAATCAAGCGCACACAAGGCGGTGGCTGCACCGTAGTCCGCTCCACACTGAGTGCATGGAACCACTCTTCGAGCCTAGCATGGCCACAAGAACCGTGCATCTCGTCCCCTCCAGCAACGACCAACTGTCTCTAGGAGCCAGTATGAACGAGGTATTGGTCAGTAGACAGATAGGCACCTTGTCGACATGCACATCAAGCGCAGATACACTTGGGATATCAAACAACAGCCATTTTCTTGAGAGAAAGATAAAGAAAACAAATCGTGTAATGCATAAGAAAACGGTGACATAAATGTTAAATTAATGAGCATAGGAAATAATTTATCTACAAAAGAATCCGAGATAAGTTCACGAGGTCGGAAAGTGTAGTTTACGGAAATGCCGCAAACCCGAAAATATTATCGCAATTAGCAACAATTTTCCTAAGCGACGTGTGCATGTTTATGGAAGAGAGTACAGGTAGACGTTTATTTGAGAAAGAATGACATTAGGACAAAATTGGAAACCCAACACCTGAAATAAATAGACCTAGCATGCAAGCACGCGGTTAGCAAATCGAATGCAGCGTGCCTACAAACGCTGCGCTGGTTCTGCCTACGTTCTCTGCAGGACCCGTCATCGCTCCGGTAGTGGTCCCGAGTGGCCTCGCTCATGGCTCACTAGGCCTGCCTGACTCAGGCACTCGCGACCGCATGTGCTACAGCACCATGCACTCGATGTCGATGGAGTACAACCCATCGGTACTTGCCACTTCTCTGCATGTATGACTTCTTTCTCCTGCACTTCGGCAAAGGCCTTCGTGATTAGATCGAGCCATGCACGCCGAGCAACTGCCTTCGATTCCTATGATCTGCAATCAAGATTAGAACGTGAGGCTCACTTTGATCATGTCCTGGTAACGTAACTTTGGTTTCCCCACATGCCGCTTCTCAATACTCAGCTGACCATATAAGAGTTGTTTAGGTATCCGCGTCGAATCCATACGGCTCATATGACCTAGCCACCTCAGGTGTCTCAGCAAGAGTATGCAGTCCACTGCATACATTTTCGACGCAACGCTTCCGCGTCAACAATTCTGTCGCCCCATCCGATGCGCAAAACCCGTCGCAAACACTGTTGATGGAACCGCTCGAGATATCGCACATCTCGCCGGTACATCATCCACGTTTCACTGTCGTATAGAAGAACGGACAGCACCATGGATTCATGCACTGTCAGTTTCGTGCCAGTGGTAAGCTGATGGTTGTTCCACACTCGTTACTCTAGGTTCCCGAATGCCGGCGCTGCCTTCGACACGCGGATACACAACTCACTGTGTATCTGCTGATCAGTCGACATCACACTCTCAAAGTAGCAAAAGCGGGAGGTGGTTTGCAATACTTCAGCACCAATGCTGATTCGCGG